CGTGTTAGCTAGCTATATCGCCCGATAGTAAATAACCCAATTCGAATTGCTAGCTAGGTATATCGGGTAGTATATTGAGTTAGCTAGCTAGATCGCCCGATAGTCGATATTTTTTTTCTCCTTGGGTCGCAGTGCGATAACTGAGCACCATTCAATATTTTGAATGATACTCAAACAAGAAAAATGCTATCAGAGATTGAAATAGCAGGTTTTGTAGAGAATTCAATTCTGTATCGAATGAGCATAAAACGAAGGTCTGGAAGTGTATGAGTCGCCCAAAAAAAGAAAATGATCTTGTCCCATTTAATCTGAGCCACCCGTTCGTTATCAAAACTGGTTATTACAAAATATTTCTTTGCACATTTATCGTTCGTTCTTTTTTTTTCTTTTCTTAACCATTTCACGTGCTTTGTTATTCAGATAAAGAATATAGATACTTATATTCACCCTAATAATGTTCTAATCTACAGGTTAGAAAAAAGTGATTTTGAAATAAAACAAAATGTGATTAACACTTTTTCCTTTTTATCCGGTATACTGTTTTGTAAATTCTGAACCTTGATGCTGAAGCTTCTTTTATTTCTAGAATTTTTCTGTTAGTTGACGCTCGACGGATGCTACAGAATTTCTCTTCAACTTTTGTGAAGCAAAATTTGACTATTAATGTAAACAAGTACAGGTTAATATTCAATCATTTCAAATGTAAACCATTTTTCTTCTCAAGGCCTCCTGTTTTTCAGGCGACTATCCGAAGAGTACCATCTTCTGTGTATATTTGGTTTCTGTTTCATTTATCTAACTCGAATACAATAGTCTTACGAGGGAACCTCTTGAGGTGATAAAACGCTTTTTGATCGAAATCTAGTGGGTTGTAGGTTATCGACCATGTTGATTCTGAATATGATTATGGGGGTTGCCCTTAGTCGTTCGAAGATCCGGTTTTCTGGAAAACCAGTTTTTCAGAAACTCTAAAAGATAACCAAAACCTTTCTTAATGAGTCACGATTGTAGCCCGCAAATTTCTGATTGAAATAAGACGTCTTTCAGCTCTGCACGATCTTTCCTCGCAAAATTATAGAATTTACAAGAAAAGCCCTAAATTAATTTTTTCCTTCTTATTTCTGCAGCTTTGAGCTGACACTGAACATTTCTTGTAAATTCTATAACTTTGCAAAGAAAGGTCGTGTGGAGCTGGCAGACGTCTCATTTCAATCAGAAATGTGCGGGCTACAATCATGACTCATTAAGAAAGGTTTTGGTTACTTTTTAGAGTTTCTGAAAAACTGATTTTCCAGAAAATCGGATCTTCGAACGACTAAGGGCAACCCCCATAATCATATTCAGAATCAGCATGGTCGATAACCTATAACCCACTAGATTTCGATCAAAAAGCGTTTTATCACCTCGAGCGGTTCTCTTGTTAGTTACAAAATGATGATTTCCGTGTTTCAGATATTGAACAAGAATGTGGAAGATGAAGTTATTTTATCCTACTTCAATCTGATGTTGACCGTTAACAATCATGAATAATAAACACATTGATTATGCTGTGGAACCGGTTTTTTAAAAATGTATTTTGTCTCATCTGTCTCGTAAGTCTTTTTCTCACATAGAACGATTAGTTTTCAGCATATTTTAACTAAAAGGAATATGATTGCCGAGAACATAGCTAAATCTAATAATATATCTTACAAAAGTATTATTGCTTGTTTCTCTCTGAAGGTATGGCTTATAATGATATTAAATGCTGTATGGTTTGCGCACAGGAGTATTTTCAAAGTAATGACGTACAATATCCGTCACTAGAATCCACCATCGGAAAAAGAAGGCATGATCGATTTAACTCAATGTGCTCGAGTGATCATTGCTGAACATGTCGATCTCCTTGCTCTTCAAGAAGTTGATGTAAATACACAACGAACAGGTAGAGATCTAAATGAAATTGAAGAATTAGCTCGTCTAACTGGATTGAAGTATTTCTTCTTTTCTAAATCAATGGATTATTAAGGTGGAGAATATGGAAATGCTCATTTATCGAGATTTCCTATTAAAGACACATTTCGATATGAATTGCCATTAGGTACTAGCGGAGAACAGCGGTCTATCGGTCACTTATTATCTCTGTTCAAAACAGACGAAGGAGAAATAACTCCTTCATCGTGTGGGTGTGGACGTGCGTGCTGATGTGGGCGTAAGTGTGGGTGTGGATGTTTATTCACTCACACCCAACCCACACACGCACACCCATACCCACACTCAAACATATACAATTGAATTGATTTTAATTGATAGTTTTATAAAAAAATTGGTA